ATATATATATATATATATATATATATATATATATATATATTAATAAATTATAATATATATATTATATATTATATAATATGTAATATATTATAAAATATATATTTATATATATTTTAATGACTTCAAATTTGAAGAATTCTGTTAATTAATCGTTTAAAACTCTAAGGTAATGTGTAACAGAATGGTTCCGAAAAGATTGAATCATTCATTTGTACAATAATAAATTAATCAACTTTGTTTCCAATATCGACCATATTTCGTACGAAGTACTTAATTTATATAGTGAAATTGTTTTCGGAGCGGAAGTTTTTGTTTCCATTAGGATGATGTAAAATTAATGCACCATGCTGACAATTGTTTATGTCTCTTTGTCAAGGTTAGTGTTATTTTGACCTGATCTTAAAACGATGATCATGCACCAACAAAATATTTACCGGGTCTTTAAGTAGAAAGTAATACAAGTTTACGAATACAATCTATTTAATCGAGTGCTGATATTAAAAAAATATATTTGTATTGAACTAAAAGTTTTCTTGATTGCATATGTCCACATTACAACAGATTATGTATCTATATAATCTCTAAAATTGGATAAATATGCAAGTACACTTGTGGACAAGTAGATAACACATGGGCTTCTTAAACAAACACTTACTTTTTAAATATAAACAGAATTTCGTCTTATTAAATTCAGTTTAAATATACTGTATGTATAATATAATTTTTTAAGTTCAACTCTTTCATTTGTTACACAGAGATGAGCATTGGCAGTAGTGCCAACCAGTGTTGCCAGAAGTGTTGCTAGGAAATTGATGGCGCGAGGGGAATCTCGTTGACCTCCCTTTACCTTGTACCTCGCAATTGCCATAAAATTAAAGTTAGAGTAATCGAGAGGATGTGTCATAATGTGCCAATGCGTAGATTAGCATTTTGGTCACGACTTCAGTGTCCTCCTATTCGGTAGGAGTGGGGGAAAAAGGAGGGATCCGGGTGCTTCACGCACCATCATTTCCCTGGCAACTTTGGTACCAATCACCGTTACTGAGAATATACCGTGAATATATAAGCAATTCAGCAGACGCAATGATTCAATTATAACCGTGGAAGCATCTCTGGCAACCCTGCTGCCCTCTACTCATACTCTGCTGAACTGCTCATCCGCGACGTCACCGATGGAGTCGCATGACATTTCGGGAAATTCACGGCAACGGTGGTGCCAATTCTCAACATGGAAAAATATCATTTGAATAAATCATGCCAACAATATAAGGACGTAAAACATTATATATTATCGTCTGATTTCGTCTTTTTCACTATCGTCATAATTGATACATACTCTAAACTACCTGAAACGGTGAAAAAATACATTGCATATTTCGTCGTGTAAAAACTACCGTTTCTCTGCTTAAATGTCAACCCTATTTTTCGGTTACCTAAAAAATGGTAAAAATGTTTAAAAAATTATAGAGATTTTTTTCTTGTATAAAATATTATTCTGTCCAACGCGATTTGTGGAAATTGTAATAGAATTGAATTAGTAGGGCAATATGTATATTAGAACAGTCATTGATACTTCAAACCATGCAGATGATGACGGAGATTGTCAAAAACTGTCTTACACTGAATCTTGTAATGAAACAGTATTTATACTTATATTAGTATTTTATTCTGTGTGACCAGTTTTTTCATTGCATTTATTTTTATTATTAGTGAAAATATTCTTCATACCTAAGTAGTTATGTACATAATTAGAGTGATGAACGTGGAATTTGTTTGGTCATATATGTACTCAGGGGTGTACTTGCGCTAAAATCAGTAGGAAAATATGGGTAATTTTA